ATGGCTATTAAAGCTTAATTTTATATTTTCAAGTTAAATTGATCCAAACCATATGAATGAATGTAACAAAAATATGAAGTGTGTACATAACCTAATAAAAACTATACATTCCATAAACACCAATGGAATATGCATAATTCGATGTTCACACTCTCTAAGAAATTATTTACTCTCAATATTATTTTGGTACTATATCTACGAAAGGAAATTCGTATTTATATGTACGATTTATAGGTTTACAAACAAATAATACTGACGAATTTGTATCATGCCAGGAACGAAATTCGTAACTACAGAATCTAATCAATTTTTCTGATAAAATGTTCAGATAACATACACTGAGTTACGTAACAGTTTTAAAACGGCTAAGTTTATCAATAAGGAATGACATAAGATAATACTCACCTAATTATAATTTTATCTCGTCATAATTATTATAATTACTCGTCGTAAACCTATCTGGATCGACAGACGATTTAAACATTACCTGAATTCATAACCTATTTAGATAGGTTTAGACACAGTGTTTAGACACTGTTTATTTTACTCGTAAAATAGAAACGAATAAGGAATTGAAATTACATATTTAAAATAATTTCTGTTATAAACAAAGACACTTCTCTTGTCAAATTATTATTAAATAGCACCATGAACGAACGGAGCAGAATAAAATTGAAAAATTAATAAAAGATGTAACTTGATCAAAGTTTATAATGAGAAAGCATTTTTTCATTGCATTATTTTATGTAATTGTTACTGTTTATGACCATTCTCAGCTTAATTCATCAATTTTTCATACCATATTTTTGAAGATATTAGTTTTCTTACTGTCCCTAGTGTAATAGTAATTTATTTAATTTAATTAAAACGATTAAAGGTTGAAAAATGAAAATTGTTTTTCAAAAAGTGAGAACAAGAACATATGTTGAGAATACAGCGAGAAAGTATGCATAAGTATAATTTTGAACGATGCGATTCAATGAATAGAAACCTAATGGATAGTTACCAAATAACTAGGAAACATGATTTTCGAATTTTTACTTCAACAATTCCGTGATTTATAGAGGAAACGACCTTGAAGAACTGAAGAGCTGAAAGTTCTTGAACTCCGGAACGCTCGAGGCGATTGTGTGTTTCGTAAATTGAGATAAATACCATGATCAGAAAGTAGTGTAAACATCTAGATTTTATTATACACGCATTTATTAATTAATACTACAACTGAAGAATAAAGAATGTTTTTCCACAGACATCGAGGGTAAAATACATAGCGACTATCTTTTATCATTGCAAAAAGCGATGTGTATATTACAAACTAGAAATTTAAATGATTAAAAGTAATGTTTCATCGACTCGATTTAACAAAGAGAGATTTTTTCTTGTTTGAAGGAAAATAGTACTTCTTGTAATTAGATGCAGCAGATGATTTATCAATTGTTTTAACGATTAGAAGAATATGTATTCATTTAAAGCTCTCTAATTGGTAATTTAAATAATTATAAAACAGTGTAAGCTTCTGTTTAATACAAATACAATTTTTATTAGATTGCTGAATAGTGTCAAACAAACATCTATTGAATCCTATTGTGTTATATTATACATATATAAAATGCACAACGAGCTATCGTTTTCGAGAAAATGCTTCTGTAAATGTATACAAAAGTTTTCTTAAAACATTTCTTCCCCCCATATCTTTAATATTTTAATATTAAATATATTTTTATTTAATAATTACATAATAATTAATCAATTAATTAATTAATATAAAGTACGCTACATATACTATGTGTTTTACACATTCTCAAAGTTTTATAATTTTCTGAATTTCCGGATTAGGAATTTTCGCTTGTAAGTTCTTTTTGTCATTTTAATAATAATCAATGTTAATCATAACAATTTCTTTTCCATAAATAAAATATTTATCGTTGCCTATAAATTACGTTGCAACGGTAAATGTTTCATCTATTTCGGTACTAAACATTTAGGTCGAAAGATCCAAACTGAGACACGGATAGACGTAATATTTAACTTTTAATTGAAATGAAACTTGGTGGGCTATTAGAAGGCGCACGTAAAAACACTAAATATAAAATCTTAATTTTCGAAGATACAAGTTTTCAATTATCAGTCATACGTTTGAAATAAAATCATGCAGAACGTGTATAAGGTGTGCATTTTTGAGATTATAAAACAATTAATGGTATAAGGTGGAGGAGTTCAAAAAAATGTGGTCCATGCCTAGTTGCCCCGTTTAGCTATGCTATTTACAGAACTTGTTTGAATAACCTTGCTGAATAACAAAAATGACTATCTAATGACTACTCAGATTTTACGCGTACGCCTTCCGTGCTGAATACTTACTATCGGTTTTAATAAGACATGATACAGCGTAAAAAAATTTAGTGATACGTCATTTACTATTATGTGCTACGTAATGAACTTTTTACACAATAAATATCCATGCACTGAACTTGCAGTAAATAAATAAATAAATAAATAAATATACTTTTTAGCTATATCAATAATTATGATAATATGTACTAAAGTAGATAAGATCGCATTTAAAAGCAATTGTGTTGCAGAACATTAAAAAAACGAGAAGAAAGATACAAAGTGTTACTTTTAATAGACACATTGGATTATATTGCAAAAAGAAAAAGGAAGGATTTCAAAAAGAAACATACATGTAATTAAAAAATAGCTGAGAAAAAGTAGGAGGAGCAATGAAGACGAAAGTTGTTTAATTTTTAAAAATTTGTGAAACATTTAAAGCATATATCAAGTTAACTATGTCGGGAGCGAGCAAGACGGCAATGGTTCATTTAGAAAAATGAAATATATTAAAAATTAGTAAATTAGCCTCTGGCCACTCCTAATGGCATTTTATCACAATTACGATCTTCAATTGTTTTGGAAGAAAGAAGTAAAAATGATATCAACTCAAAGTTAACGTATCATGTATACTTAATTCGAAAACAACGATTTAAAAACATACTAAATATTCGATAGAATGAACGATGCCTAAAGGTTATCCATTGAAATGACGAATACGTGAAAACTCAAAGATGAAACAGTTACCAAATAGGAAGATAAACGCAATATCTATTTTATGTAGAATCAGCAGATCATGAGAAGTCGGGCCATTTAATACATGCGCAACCTAAATCGCGTGTACAACACAATTCACGCGCTAAGGAGATAATGTGCTAAGAAAGATAAAAGTAGAAGTAAACAGAACGGTAGATTTCAGAATCTGAAATCAGGTGCTGAAATTAAAATGCTCCCAAAAATAAATCAAATATTTAGATAAATGTATAAGAAGCTTATAATAGATCTAAAAACTCATGAATCTCAAGCAAGCTAAATAATGATTAGTATATTAGTTGATTAGTATTTATATATATATATATATATATATATATATATATATATATATATAAATAAGGATAAGATAAATAACTTTCCAGTGAACGATATTATACCGAAGCTAGATATTCCCGAAAGTCTGTGCTCTAAAGTAAATGAACAAACCGTAGGCAACTACAATCTAAAGCAGACGTCTGGTAAGACAAAACGCAATACAATAAATTCAAAAACAAAATCGCTATTTTAACAAATATATTGCGTATAGTTTGACCATAGTAATGGTTTTTATGAAGATACTTTGCAAATTACTTTCAAATTGCACGAAATTTTTAACTCTATTTTTATTTCTCTATCACTGACATCTTTCCCTATTAAAGAAAATCTCTTTAATAACAGAATAATAATGATGAAATATACCGTATTGCAATTTACGACATTGTAATATTAGAATTTGTGATTTTATGTAGATGTTTCTAAGTCGCATAGGGTTCCGTAATTTGTTTTAATTCTCCTGTGTAATTTCTGAGAAAATCGAGAAAAAATTTGAAAAAATGCGTGAGGTATTATAGTTTAATATTTCATTGTAAGCACGGAAACATGTTTAAGCAATGTTTAAAGTGAAAAAAATGACCCCAAATATATGACAATGTTTAGAGATATTTTTAAATTCATTTCTAGAATCGAACATATAGGAGGAAATTAATTTACATCATCCGGTAGGGCAAATCTTTGATTTACAAACAGAGTTAGTTTTATAAGAAGTTAAATCACGTTTTGTTTTTAAAATACGATGTTCCAGCGTTGAGTACTACTGTCTACAACATAGGCCCTACGTGACCTGTCTTACGAAATTATTTCGTTTGTACTTTGAAAGCGAAACGTGATTTGTAATTATTATTCACGTCATCCGTGGTTTACCAAGGTTTACTCTATCACGTGATGTAATTAAATTTCGTTCCGTATACTTAGTTTTTTAAATAAATTGTAGAATTCCGCAAAAATTGGTATTACAGGAGTTACTTTTACTTTAATCATTGTCGAACACTCGAACGGTAAACCTTTTTGATCGAAATATAATTATATTATTTATGAATTTTTTTAAACATTTTTTAATATACTTTTTTTACACAACTTAGTTTTCCTACAAGTCTTAATGAAACATATGAACATTTAAATTAGTTTTCAGAAACTAGACATTCGAATAACAATTGTTAAACTCTTGATCTATGTGAACCCGGGCCCCATCATCCGAGTGTTATAATATCAAATAACATTGCCTGAATTTTAAAGTTGCCTCTCTTTTCCAAAATTGATTTCTTTTATAAACTACACACAAGAACTCGAAAATTACAGATCATATTAAAAAGCATCAGCTGAATATTCAATTTAAATTCAATTGATGTACAATACGCAAAATACCGCTATTCTTAATCTCGTTATTGATCTCTGTTAATCTCCATACATTAAATTATGTAATCCGTTTCCATAATTCTATTCAATTGAATTCAATAGAAAATGAAATGTGTCGGTTCATACGATAAAGTTATGTAATATGAATGAACAATGTACATACAATGTTTCTCTTGTTATTTCAGATTACAAATTGCTGCTTATTACAGTATTGTAATTACATGCGTTGTCATCTTCTTGGCATTTATTGTCTCTTGTGAGAGAATGAGATATTATATCAAATTTTGTTTCTTTATATTTATTGCCGCTACAGTGCCGACTATATCCATACCATTTATGCTATTAAGAATTAGAGATTGGAGGAATGCAATGTAAGAGTATGAAACTTGTAATACAAAATTAGCAAAAGATAAATGATAAGCTACGTATTTATTCAATTTACAAAAACTTTCAGTCCCACCGCTTGGTGTTTGAAATTAGGTATGAGATTATTAGGAGTTCAATATCATGTACGCGGAAAAGAAAATCTGGTTCAAAACAGCGGTAGTATAGTTTTAATCAACCATCAAAGTTCGATTGATCTAACTGGCAAGTATAATATGTTAGTAATATTTTTTATTTCATAAAACAGATATATTGTACAAATTGATAACGACGCTAAAATTTCAGTTTTAGCCGAACTATGGCTGTTAAAAAGAAAGAGCATCGTTATTTCCAAAAAAGAGGTAATGTATTTTGGACCCTTCGGTATTGCAATCTGGCTATGGGGAACCATTTTTATTAATAGACAGAAAAGCAAAGAAGCATATAACGTGTTGAACGAAGCCGGAGATATTGTTAAAGACTCGAAGGTATAGTTACAAGTACAGAAAATTGTTAATTCACTTATTTTTAATTGGTTTCTTTGTATATTTTCTAGGCAAATCTTCTCATATTCCCAGAAGGCCATCGTCACTCTAATTCTTCGTTAATGCCTTTTAAAAAGGGTGCTTTCCACACTGCAATCACAAAACAACTACCAATCCAACCAATTGTTGTTTCTAAATATTACTTTTTGAATGCAAAACAGAAGATATTTAATTCAGGTTCAGAATTTAAACTATTACTGTTGCGATTTGTAAATATAATTATTTTATTTAATTATTTTTGTTTAACTGAAATTATCTTTTAGGTGTAAGTTACATTACAATTTTGCCTGCTATTTCTACAGAAAATTTAACCTTGGATGATCTTCCAATGTTGATGGAAAAAGTTTATGAATGTATGAATACTAAATTCTCCGAAACTTCGGAGGAAGTCTTAAATAATCATATTAATACGTTAAAAACGAAACAATAATACAAACGGTGAAATTATGGTAAATTTTAACAGTTTTGAATGTATGAAATTATGTCAAAAAATACTTAGTTAAAATTGTATGTGTGTGCATGTATGTAAATAAAATTGTCTACATACAATCTTTCTACTTGCATACAACAGAATTTTGTACCATTTATGAAAAAGTACAAACATAGCAATTGTGTAACTAATCGTGTTTGAGGTAGCAGTTCAAATATGTTTGTAGTGATAAAGTGTCTCAAATGGGATAAAGTATAACTTGTGATATTATGTTTAAGAAAATACTGTATTTTGAATTATTACATATCTGAAAGTATAGGATGTACCACAAATTACTATGCAAATCAAGTCAGGGAAAGTTTATGATTTAAAACAAGACAAATATTAAGATTATATATTAAGATTAACAAGACAAGCTTCCGTTTCGAGAAAATCGAGTTTGACAATTCGTAGAATACGCGTACTATTGAATAAAAATTAATTGTCTCTGTTCAAGATTTCCTAGAACTACTTCTTGTAAATATGAACGCAACTTGGCGAACTGGATTTAAAAATAGAGAAAAATGTTTGCCGCAGAGCTATTACATTTTCTATTAAAATTGGTGTACTTTGCCTTGCTGTACATATATTTTTACGCTGATAGTTATAGCTTAAGTCTAGCTATTCAGTCAAAACGGTCTTTTTGTCTTTGTATAAAATATACCTTCTTCAGCCCATATATTTTCCTATTTTCCAATAATATACATATACATATAGTATGTAACGATAATATTTGGACAACTTTTAAGACACAATAACCGTTTTTAAATTGAACTGAACAACTTGAATTTTTCTAGGATGTTTGACAGACTAGTTTACTAGACAATAAGCAAACTACTTGCAAAAAAATACAATTGGTTGAAATTACAAAAAAAATTATGGTTTTACAACCTTTTTATCTGAAATTTCACATTCAAAGTATTATAATTTAAAGTTATTGATACTAATTCTTATCTCCAATCTAAAATTCAACTGCTATAGAAATCTAAAAGCTTTTAAATTGTATTCTTGCATGCAAGAGTGTCAGTGACATATCATTTCTGTATATAGTAATAGGTATATACTAAATTTTGATAAAAGGAATACAATTTTAAACTGCCACTTCTGGGGAGGAATTTGACAAGAAATATTTTTTTTAAATGTAGAATGACTCACGCCCTTTTGAAATTTCGCGCGCAATTTTCACTCAGTCCCTTGGAAGGGGAAGTCTGTGCATGAGGCGCCCTACCATGGCCATGAAATCATGGGCATGGACAGAACATTACTTCGTAAATTTCGTATATACGCGGTATTATTTGTGAATTTGTGTTCAAGCATCCAGCTGATTGGAGTTTAAAGTTTAAATCGCGCACACCACAGTCGTATTCAGTTTTCAACCGTTTATCTCGTGAAAAAAATATTTCAATATGTAAACTGCGAAAGAATTTATCGATTTGTATCGCATAAAAGCTATACCTGTTATGTTCCTAATTGTTCAATATTTTTTAAACAACTTATATATATATATATATATATATATATATATATATATATATATATATATATATATATA